GCTCAGAAGGGGTTTTCCTGTTCCCTGAGCTTCGAATCATCAGCACAATCACACGAGAAGTGGAGCCCGAGGGGGATGGCCCTGAGGACCCCACAGGTAGGCACAGGCAGCCTCCTCACCTTGCTGCTGTGCACATGCCCCCCGCTCTCCCTCTGGGGTTTGGGGGGCTCTGCCTGGGAGGGCTTCTGACTTGCCTGGTGTCATTGTGCTCTTTGGAAACCCACTCAGGCAGGGTCCTTTCCTCCTTCTCTGACTGATGTGCAGCTCTGAGATGTGTCTTTAGGCTCAGTCCCTAGGCGGACAGTGTTGCCGCTGTTGTTGCCCAGGCTTCATGAAGTACCTTCATTTGTTCTGTTTGTGTATTTATTTTGCGCTGGGATCAAACCCAGGACCGTATGTGTGCTAATAAGCACCCACTCTACCACTGAACCACACCCTCAGCAGCCCCCAGTTCTTAAAGGTGACTCTTCCTTACCTCTATTGCTGGTCCTTAAAAGGGGGTTGTGAGCTGGCTGTCCATCAGGGGGTGGCCAGCCTTGCTGGGCCCCACAGCTTGGTGACTTCTGGTTGGGCCATTTCTGCAGTTCAAGAGTCCCTGGTGTCTGAAGAGATCGTGCATGACCTGGACACCTGTGAGGTCACGGTGGAGGGAGAGGAACTGAACCCGGAGCAGGAGAGCCTGGAGGTGGACACAGCCCGCCTGCAGCAGAAGGGCATCGAAGTGAGCCGCTCTGACCTGGGCATGGTCTTCACAGGTGAGAGAGGTAGACTGTGAAAACCCTTGGCCACCTGGCTCCCACCATCTTCAAACACGAGGAGAGCCAGCACGGCTGCATACTGGCCCCCTCTGCACAGGAAGGGGACACACAGCACTAACTTACATGGGGCTAGCTAGCACATGCCCCTTAAATGCCCCGCATGATCTGCCTTTGTCTCCTAATTGGAAAGCCACAAATATGTGGCTGCTGACTCAGCAGCCCAGGTGCCGACTTTAGCCACTGGGGCCCTGGCTCTGGCCCCACCCAGTTTCCTAACTCGAGCCACCTGACACTCTTCTCAATGCTGACCCTGCAGGTGTGGACACCATGGCCAGCTATGAAGAGGTTTTGCACCTGCTGCGCTACCGGAACTGGCATACCAGGTCACTGCTCGACCGGAAGTTCAAGCTCATCTGCTCTGAGCTAAATGGCCGCTACCTCAGCAATGAATTTAAGGTGGAGGTGCGTATAGGGCTCCTACCCAGAAGAGACAGCTCTGATGGTGACGGAGGGCCCTGTGTCTTGGCCCTGATGTTGACAGATGCCAGTCCTTAGCACAGTCATGGCAGCGAGAGGCTCATCCCAGGAGCGGCAGCCTTCTCCAGCCTGGGCCTACTGGGTGGACCTGCACAGCCTGTCCTGATGGGTTGAGCTGGAGGCGCTGTGGTCGAGTCAAGCTGCTGCTCCCTTCCACCCGCTGCTGCAGCCTGAGTCAGAGCTGAGAAGCTCTGTGGGGAGGTGATGGAGAGCAAGTGGCAGAGAAGGTGCAGGGAGGGACGAGATTGCTGTGTCAGGTTTTGATGTGAGACATGAGGACACTCTTTTAGAAAGAGCAGCAGCCGGGGAACTAAAGCATCTTTGTAGCTGTGCCAGGTCACTCTAGGTCACTGGCTCTGTTGAGAGTGAATTCGGGTCCTTGGGCTGATGCAGGGACACACCCCAGGGCTGAGGCTTCCCTGGCTGGCAGCGTCACCCAGGCAGGGCAGTGTCCTGCTCTGAAGCCTTCAGTGGCCTCTGCTATGGCTTCCTCATGGCTCGAGGCCTCTGTGGTCTGGGGAAATGGACCCAGAGTTATTCCTGGCAAATGACCATCTTCACCAGGACCTCAGTGGCAGCAGTGGACCACTTCACACTGTTGATGAGGATTTTATTTGAGCCAAAGGATAACTGGTTAGAAAGGAAATACACAGTTACGATAGTGCCCTCTCCCATGGCCAGGCTTGAGGCTAAAGGAGGAACGTTGTCTACCAAGCACTTGCTGGGTGGCGAGGCCTGGAGGCTGGTCTGCTGCTTGGCTCTGTGGCTGGGCTATTTGATGGAGTGCACTGAACAGGAATCATTAGAGAAGTGCTGTTCTTGGACGTGGACATCAGGCTATCACAGTGGTCTCTAGGAGCTCGCTCTTTGTTTTTCCTGCTCATGGACGGGGCACTATTGGCTTCCAGCAGGGCCAGAGGTCACTCTAAGTAGCACTGCTCATACCAGCTGCCACCCCGTTTCTTCCCTTGGACACACTTGGGATGCCCCTCCCAGTGCTCCTTTCTCTCCATTGCAGGTGAATGTGATCCACACCGCCAACCCTGTGGAGCACGCCAGCCACATGGCCGCCCAGCCACAGTTTGTTCACCCAGAGCATCGGTCCTTTGTTGACCTGTCAGGCCACAACCTGGCCAATTCTCACCCATTTGCAGGTAGGATGCTGGAGGCACATGGGTGGAAACACTGAGTGTCACACAGGGCTCAAGTGGACACCCCTGCCCCACTTGGCTGTTCCCTGTCGCACTTGAGGAAATGAGAGCCCTCCCATAGCCACAGTGACCCGGGCAGAGCTATTTCCGGTGTTTCTGACTCCGGGGGTCAGGTGGAGTGTCCGACCTCAGAGAGCTGAGGAGGACGGTTGGGAAGGCCCTCCAGCTGGGTGACCTCTCTGAAGCCTTGTTTGTCCTTTCACTCCTTCGACAGTCGTCCCGAGCACCGCCACTGTGGTGATTGTGGTCTGCGTCAGCTTCCTGGTGTTCATGATCATCCTGGGGGTGTTTCGGATCCGGGCTGCACATCAGCGAACCATGCGGGACCAGGACACAGGGAAGGAGAATGAGATGGACTGGGATGACTCTGCCTTGACCATCACGGTGAACCCCATGGAGGTAGGAGCAGACCGGGCACCTCCATGTCTGTATGCCTGCGCCTCGCAACCGCACACCTCTGTGAGCTAGGGTCCTCATATCCAGAGGGGTAGGCTGAGGCTCGAGGGGCCTTCCTGAGGGTCATACCACCTAGTAAGTGTAAGTGCAGAGAGAGCTGGGGCTCCCTCCTGCTCTACCCAGAGACAGTTCTCCACCGAGGGACCCCAGTGCCCCATCTTGGAGCTCTGCATGCCTCGACTCTGTGGGGGAGAGGCCACTCTCAGCAATGCCCAGGCCTCTTTCTCTGGCCAGTCTCTCTCACTGGGGTGTCTCCCTTCTGCTACTGCTCCTGGAGGGTGGACTCTGGGGATTGGGCCATGAGCTAGACTCATGCCTCTCTCTTTGTAGACCTACGAGGACCAGCACAGCAGTGAGGAGGAGGAAGAGGAAGAGGAGGAGGAAGAGGAGAGCGAGGATGGAGAGGAGGAGGAAGACATCACCAGCGCTGAGTCGGAGAGCAGTGAGGAGGAGGAGGGTGGCCCTGGGGACGGCCAGAACGCCAACCGGCAGCAGCAGCTGGAGTGGGACGACTCCACGCTCAGCTACTGAATGCACCCCGGGCGCCTGTGTCCCTGCCTCAGAACACCTGCCACCCTCTCCCAGCCCGTGGGTCCTCGATGTACAAAGTCACTTTGGCCAGCAGGTCTGCAGACCCCCTGTTGCTGATCGTCCTTCCGTGCCCGTGCCCGGTGTGTAGGACTGTAGGCTCCCGCCCTCTGCCCATCCCCGCTGGATCGCTCTCCCCTAAGCCAGGAGCTGGCCCTTCCTCCCTGCCGCCTCCTGCCGGCACAGAGGCCACAGCACCACAGGCCCCTGCCAGCCGGCGAGACGCCCACCTCGCACCTCCAGAAGAGTTGCCGTGAAGGACTGTAGCTGACAGAGGTGAAACGCTCCTTCCCACCTGGAAATCATTTTTTCTTTTTAAAAAAAAGTTTTTATTTTTTCCAAACCTAGTGCATGTATAAAATGGCAGAATGGGTTAATATGTAGATGATCAACTGACTTTTTAATATTTTGTAAATAAATTGGGATTCTCTGTGTCCTTTGTGCTAGTGTAGTCCAGGACTGGGACGTAAAGTGGAGGGACCCTGGCTCCTGTTCCCTCCCCCTCAGGAAACCAGGATGGGGAGGCCTGCCCACTCTGGCCAGGGCCTGGGGCTGTAGGCTGTGGCTTGCTGCTTGGGCCCAGGTCAGGGGTTTGTGTTTGAAGTGTGGAAATAGCCAGGTCTTTTCTTTGGGATTCTGCCCACTTCTAGCATGGTGCTGGGGGTGGGAACTGTGGGGTCCCCGGCCTCTTGTGCATTCCCCAGGACCAGCAGCTTCCTTGGCGTCACCCGGGCCCATGTGCAGCTGTAACTGATGCTTCATAACTGCGCATTGCCGGCTGGGGAAGCTCTGTGCGTCATGGACACTGATGGCCATGGTGCAGATCATTGGACCACTTGGTTTGGAGACAGCAGCGGTTCCCTGAGGGATCTGCACTCAGAATGGAGGAAGGGAAACCCTGAGGCTTCAAGACAGACTCTAGAAAGTTCCAAAAGTCTGCATCTACCCCACCCCAGCCCCTGGATGCCGCTGTGTCGGGGTCAGACGCTCACTCCAGGAGCCAGGGGTCCTGCTGCTCTGCTCTGGGCAAGGCGAAGGCCAGCAAGCAGTTTGGTCTGGAGCCACACAGCACTTTGCTCTTGTGTACATGTCAGATGCCAGACTGTAAGCCTGGGGTCGTTCTGCTTGCTATCTGTGTCCTCACTGCTAGTTTTAAGGACACTGATGGCTGGGCTGTTGTGTGGCCGCCCTTCCACGTCCAGTCCCTGTAGCTGCTCTGTTTAGACAACGGTAGATGCTAACACAGAGAGGGACATCCTCATACAGTCTGTAGCGCTGCGGTGTCCCCTCCCAGATGTGTATATTGATGCTAGGTCAGAAAGTGTATACACTACAATAAAGTTCTGGTTCTAACTCCAGCCCGAGTGGGGTCTGTTTTCTGCCTCGTTTTCACTCTGTGTTCCCTTGTTTCTTTCTGAGCCGAGAATGTAAGAACATAAAAAGGCTTTTATTTCTTTCAACTTGCCTTTATCTCATGACAAACAGTTACACAGACTCAGCCCACAACAGTGATATTGAACTTGCCTTTCCCATACAGAAACATGAAATGACTTAAAAAAATAGAAAATATTCTCACCAGGCACACAGACCATACACCCAGAAACTGCTGAGGGTGTGCAAGGCCTGCAGCCCACTCCACGGAGCACCCAGACTCGATTCAATAAATAACACAACACACGGACGTACGCGCGGTTTTTCCTATTGCAAAGAAGGCGGTGGCCTGATTAATTTCAGCATTTAGTTGGGAACAAAAGTGTGACCCGCTACCTACTGCAGATGAGGCAGGTACTCTGGTGGCACAACAGCTATTCAAAATGGGGAGAGCTGGCACCTGGAATCCCTTTTAGGCTGTGCACCTGGGCTGCTGAGGGGCAGCCGCTGCTGGCTCTGCTGAGTCTTGGGAGGCTTCTGAGAGATCAGCAGTGAGCCCAGCAGGTCCTGAGTGGGCTGCTCATGCATCAGCATTACCAGGGCTTTTTTATCTTAAAAAAAGGTTTTTGTTTGCAGTGCTGAGGATTAAACCCAGGGTCTCATGCATGCTAAGCACATGCTCTACCATCGGGCTCCGTCCCCAGCCCACTGTGGGTTTCTAAAAGCCCAAGTCCTAGTCTGGTGTGGTGGTGCACGCCTGTAATCCAGTGGCTCGGGAGGCTGAGACAGGAGGATCATGAGTTCAAAGCCAGCCTCAGCAATGGTAAGGCGCTGAGCAACTCAGTGAGACCCTGTCTCTAAATAAACTACAAAATAGGGTGTGGATGTAGCTCAGTGACAGAGTGCCCCAGAGTTCCATCCCCAGTACCAAAAACAAAAAACAACAACAACAACAAAAAACCCAAACTAAAAGCCTTAGCCCTGGCTGCCTCACCAGATTGGGCTTCAGAAAGCTGGGGCAGGCCCAGGAACCTGCAGTAGGGACAGCTGCACTTGTCCAGCCCTTGGGAAGCCTAAACCTGGACCATTTCAAACGAAGTGCCCTCAGAGAGAAAGACCCCACCCTGCCCAGCCAGCGATGGCTCCCAGCAGGTTCTCAAAGGCGAGCCCTGGGGGACATCAACCTGCCCAAGCAGGCAGCCTGTTCACCATCACTGCACGACTCCGCTCTGACCTTTCACCCTGACCAGGATGAGCTCTGCCAAGCTCACGTTTTTGTCCTGGACTTGGGGCAAGGCAGGCTCCTCCCCAGCCGTGGAGGTTCAGTAAACAGTTTGGCTATGATTTTCTTACCCGCAGAGAAAAAAGGTGGGGCATCCTGTACCCGAGGGTCACTTCAGCAGTGAAGAGCAAGCATCCCTGAGTCTAGAGTGTACCCTGGCTTCTTTGGGAGCTGCCTGGGACTTGGTCAATGGAGGACACGCAGGGTGGGCCACACAGGTGGCCGAAGGATAGCTGGGGATTGAGGTGTCCTGTCTGGACAAGAGGCCAAGGCGGGGAGCCTGGGAAGAAGGCTCCCCCAAGAGGAGGTCAGTCTTTGCTGGGAAGATCCACCCGCTGGAAGACTTGGGGTGCCAGTCCTCGGACGAGAGCAAGGTACAACCTCAAGGTGCCCAGCTCACAGTGCTCTGACTAGGGACCCGGGACAGTGTCCCTCCTCAGCACAAGGATGCATGTCCACTTATGGCTGTTTGGTTCCTTAAACATTTCGAGTCATAAATAAATAACCAGTGTAAACAAAAGGCAATTGTGTGGCTCTTCCCCGTGAGGTGCAGTTCAGGTGTGTCCCCTTCTAGGACGGTGTGCCGGCGTGTGGCACCTGGGAGGTGGCTGCTATTGCCGGTTGTCCTTGGACACGTTGTGTGCCAGCCAGTTCACTTTGGTCTTCCAGCTCTCCCTCAGAGCTTCGTTGAACTTCACCCGGAAGTGCTTGAGCGCTTCCTCCTCCGTCTTGCCCAGCGCCAGAGAGTCCTGGGACAGAATTGTCATGGCAGGGTCAACACTCAGGGATCCTGTCCCTGCAGTACCTGCAGCCCCTCCTGCCTCCCTGTACCTTTGCCCCCTCAGAGTATTTGAAATTCCATCCTTTTTTAAAAAATATTTTTTAGTTATAGTTGGACACGATAGCTTTATTTGCATTTATTTATTCATTTTTTTGTGGTGCTGAGGATCGTGCCCAGTGCCTTGCTAGGCGAGCGCTCTACTGCTGAGCCCCAGCCCCAGCCCCTTGAAATTCCCTCCTTAAAGAACTGCACGCAGGGGATTAGGAGCGAGCCACCCATATCTCCCTCTTTGGTCCCAGACCCACACAGAGCCCCTGGCCCAAAGGTGTCTTGGCCCTGAGGCCCCAGATGGCCAGGCGGCCTCACCTTGACCGCGAGAAGGCCGGGGCAGCTTTCCGGAACGCCCTACAGTGTGCAGCCAGCCTTCACCCCCGCCCACCCTGCCTCACCAACGAAGGCACAGGAAGGAAAAGCGTCTTGTAAACCTAGAAGGAACCTGCAACTGGGCAAGACTAGGCCCGGCGGCAGCTCATCGCTCTGCCACTTCCCACTAGGCTGTTCTGCTGTGTCCCGGACGGCTTGTAGGTGGACTTCCCAGGTCCCTGAACTGCTTGGGCAGGACTTGGGAGGTGCACAGTGACCCTGTCCTCCTGCCTGGTGTGGCCCTGGGCTGGCATACCTTCAAATACTGGATGTCTTTGGAGCAGCTGAGCTCAGGCAGGCCTGCTGCCCGCATCAGAGCAAAGAGGTGGAGGAAGAGGAGCCCGTGGCGCCGCAGGATGGTATAGGCCCGCTCACAGTAGCCCCGGAACCTGCAGGGGAGGAGGCAGCAGGTGAGGCCTGGGTCCTCCCAGCCACGCCCAGCCCAATGCCAGCAGCTGGTCTGCATCTAACAGCAATTGCCCCTGAGTGTCTGCCTTTGGTCATGGATGTACCCAGTTCCTCTAACTAATGTCCCTGCCCAGGCCTCCTACACCACCCATGGGCCTCCTACACCACCCACGGACCTCCTCCCTGCACTGCCCAAGAGGGTGCTCTGGGGTTGGGGGTACACCTGACAATAAGGCAGCATCCCCAGGGTGGAGACCAGAAGTTAGGCTGAGGGCCGAGTTCCTGTCCCTGCCGCCTGGCTGGGAACTGTCCCCTCACCTTTCAAACTTCTCACTGTTACTAGTCTTGCCCTGCTGAATCACGTGGACAAAGTCGTAGGTGAGGATGAACGGGACTCGCTCACGGTTGATTCCAAACTTGGTCTTGAAATTCCCCAGAAAGTGGCCAAAGTCAATGTGGAAGAGCTGAGGGGAGGGAAGGGCACAGAGCGAATAGGTGTCACAAAGCCAGGCTCTGGGAACAGGAAGCCAGGAGGGCTTGGGGCACTCTTCTGGGAGCCATGTGCAGGGCAGAGGGACCAGTGGGCTGGGCTAGCCTGGAGGACAGGCCTAGCCAGGTGCCCACAGTGCCCCTTACCTGCCCACTCTCACGGATCATGATGTTGTCACTGTGCCGATCGCCGATGCCCAACACGTAGGTGGCCACACAGTAGCCGGCACAGGAGAGAGTGAACTCCTCAATGGCTCGATCTAGGGCCTCTCTGGGTAGGGAAGATTGAAAATGATGACCACACCGTGGAGTGGCTCCTTCTGATGCCCTCCCCTTGAGTCTGGCCTTGTGACTTGCTTTAATCAACAGAACACAGAAGACATTATTCCAGAGCATAGGTCACCTGCCCAGCTTGAAGTCGCTCCCTCCTCCCACACACTCCCATGCAAAGGAGCCGAGGTTGATGTGTTAAATGAGGAGAGGCCACAGGAAGGGGCACAACTGACAGCCAGGTCCCTAGGCATGTGACTGGGGTCTTGGGAGATTCTCTGGGCTCAGGCAAAGCCCTGGAAGCCAGCACCAGCCATTTCAAACCCGAGCTGAACCACTCAGCAGAACCCACTCAAGCTGCAGATTTGTGACTGACCACACACGGTGGTTGTTTTAAGGCCCAAAGCTTTGAATAGCAGCCGCAGAGCAATCAAAAACGGACACGGAGGATAGTGACCTTCCCCCACCCCAGCCCAGATGTGGGCCAGGCCTCAGCTGAGCCGAGCAGCCACGGAGACTGCCACGGGCCTTCCCTCACCTCTCAGAAAGCAGCAAGCCTCCACCCGGGGCCTGAGACCTACCCAGGGTTCTTGGACTTGAGCCAGTTGAGCAGGGCGTCCTTGTTGAAGGCGGCCGTGGCGGCCATGTTGCTCTTGTTCAGCTGGATGTTGGCAATGGTGTCCGAGTGCAGCACCACCTCGATGAGCCCCGTGCGGTCACCAGTGGGAAGGCAGCCGTAGGGGGTCATCCTAGCGTGTGAGAGGGGAGACGGGCAGACACTGTGCTCAAGGGCAGTCTCTGCTGCTGCTGGACCCCACAAACTGCAGGGGACGCAGCCGCTCAAGTTCCCGAGGAGAAGGAGGGAGGCGTGGGGCCCTGGGGAAGGTGCCTGGGGGACACAGCACTGACACCCGAGATGCAGAGCGCACCTTGGCCGGGCTCATGTTTGCTCTGAAGAGAATGAGCCAGAGGGCTTGGAAGAAGTTGCCGCTGCTCCCCAAGCAAGGGCAGGAAACGGGAGCTGAGCACGGGGAACGGCCTCACCCCCTCCTCCAGCTGCTCTACCCCTCCCTGCTCTGTTTTGTTCTTTTCTTTCTTTCTTTTTTTTTTTTTTTGTATTAGGGCCTAAACTCAGGGGTGCTCTGTCACTGAGCCACATCCCAGCCCTATTTTGTATTTTATTTAGAGACGGGGTCTCACTGAGTGGCTCAGCGCCTTGCCATTGCTGAGGCTGGCTTTGAACTCGCAATCCTCCTGCCTCAGCCCCCCGAGGTGCTGGGATTACAGGCCTGAGCCACCCTGCCCAGCTCCCTGCTCTTCTGAGAGCAGCCCCTCTCCCGGCTGACACGGTGGTGATGGTTTAGACCAGGGACCCCTCCAGAGGCACAGGCTGTGAGGCCTGTTACAGGCCCAAACAGGTGACTGTCAGAGGCCCCCACCTTAGGTCCAGGCCCTCCTGCTTCCACAGGACGTCCATGAGCTGGATCATCTGCAGAGTCAGCATGTCCTGGCGGAGGTCTGCAGGGGCCAGGAGGAAGGGCGGGAGTTCCTGGTGGGCTATCCACCCCTGCAATGCTCAGAGTCCCAGAGCTCTGTCTTCTCAGGGTACCCCCTAGGACCCTCCCGCAGGGTGGTACAGGCCTGGGTGGGCAGGCCAAGGCCTCAGCATGTCCCCTGCCCAGCCTGGCTCACCATCCCCATTCTTAAAGATGATGCCCACGCTGCCAGCGCTGCCCGCCTCCTCGCTGCTGTACATGATCCACAAAGGTTTCATCTTGGAGTCCATAAAGGTGCACTGCTCCACACTGCCAGCAGAGGGAGATGTTGGCCTCGGCAGGCTGGGGGTCCAGGCGGGGAAAGGGGACTTGGGGGGCTGGCTTCGCATGGGGCTGGGCTTGGGGCTCACCAGACTTCGGCCAGAAGTGTGCTGGGGTCCAGTGGGGACTGCAGGTGTGAGAGGGCCTCCAGGTAGGTCTCCTGGCGCATGCACAAGTGCATGAGCTCCTTGGTTTGGGGCTTGGTGGTCTTCTGAGAGCTCACCTTCACAAAGTCATTCAGTGCCTTCAGCTTACTGAGTGCTTCCCCCTGGTGGGCAGAATGGAATAGCAGCAGTGCGCATGAGCCCGAGCCAGAACCAGGAGGGTGATGGGGTGATCGTGAAGGGGCCAGGGCTGGCCCTGCCTGGAACGGGAGCCCATCTGGGGCTCTGGCGCTCTGAGCCTCACCTGCTTCATCAGCACCTTCATGTGGTGGGTGCTGCCCCTACAGTAGGCCTCCATGATGAGGCCAAAGCGCAAGGCCACTGACGGCACGTGCATCTCAGAGCTGGAGGGACAAGATAGGATTGAGCGTGGCCAGGAGGGACACATAGCCCCTCCCCCACCCAGGAAACATGAGGTCAGGAGGACACTCATCCAGAGGACCCTCATCCCCTAGGTTCCCAAGGAGCCAGAGGGGCGCATCCAGCTACCGGAGATGCCAGAAGAGGAAGTGGCCGATCTTGCGGTTGGCCAGGGCCCGGTCCAGCAAGAATTTGGTCAGCTCGCAGTCCAGGTAGGACTCATACTTGAGGACCTGCACCAGCTGCAGCAGGTACTGGAAAAGCTCGTCGTCCCTGCAGGGGAGGAAGGCGGGTTGGGTCTGTGGCTCCGAAACTCAGGACCGAGGTCTGCCGTGGGCAGGTGGCCGGAAAGGAGGGGAGGTCAGCCTTGGCTGGAGCAGGACCAGGCTCCTCCCCACCCAGGACCCACTTCCAGGTTGCCAGGGTGAGCTGTCTCGGTGAGGAGCAGGCAGCCCGAGGGCCTCAGTGCCCGGCTGGGACTCACGTCAGTTTCCGCAGGGACTTGATGGCGAAGGAGCCCACGTGGCAGTCGGGGAAGCTGAAGTCCAGCAGCTCCAGGGCACTCAGGACGGGCAGCTCAGGCCAGGAGCACAGCAGGTAGAGCATCTGGAGGGCGCTTTGCGGTCAGGGGTGGGCGGCCCGCTGCCATCGCTCTACCCCCAGCTCTGCCCCCGTGCCCCTCTCCGCCCACCTGGGCCACATCCTCGTGCTTGTTCCACTTGGTGACGAGCAGCAGGCGGGCCAGCGCCTCCGGGAAGCGCTCCTGCACTTCATGGCGCATCTTCCACACCAGGTCCTTCTCGTGCTCGTATAGCTCCCCCGACCCCCGCCGCTCCAGGATTTCCCGCAGCTGCAGCTGCTAAGGGGCGCAGGCAGGGTGAGGCCTCCAGCCCAGCCCCTGGCTCCAGGCCCCGCCAGGACCCCAGCTCACCTCCTCCTCAGTGGCACGCCCACGCTCCCCGTGACGCCCCAGCTCCAGGATCTGCAACAAGTGGCCCTGCTGTGAGCTCCCAGGCCTGGGACGGCCCTGGCAGGGCTCCAGGCAGGGCGTCCGTGCCTCGGCACTGCTGCCGACCACTCTTGCTGGTGGGAACCCTCCTGCACACCGCAGGGCGTTCAGCAGCATCCCTGGCCTCGGCCTGTCACATGCCAGGAGCACCTCTCCCATTGGCTGTGACATCAAAGTGTCATCAGACATCCCCAATGTCCCCTGGTGGGCCAAATAGCTCCTGGAAGCCCCCAAATCAGCATGATGACCCAGCTCCCAGGAGTGGGCCAAGCCTGGGGCGGCCAGGGCCCCCCTCTGAGGAGCTCCAGGAAAGCTCCTGGTCAGCCCTCAGCTTCCAGGAAGGGCCTCACTGACCTTCTCCAGGGCAGGGTAGTACACAGGGTGGGGGGCCACCTCGGGCAGGCAGATGACCAGGGTGGCAGCACTCTCTGTGTTGGGATTGCTGCGCACGCTGCCCGTGGGGTTCAGCAGCTCTCCTTTCTCATCTGGAGGCAGGGACAGACGTAGTTGTAGGGGAACCAGTTCTGGGACCCTCACCCTCTGAAAGCCTCTCCCTGCTGGGCCTGGGCCCACCTGGGACAGAGGGCCACATGTAGAGGCAGCGCTCCCCAGTCTTGAGCTGGTCCTTGTAGTCGAACAGCATGAGGTTGGCCCAGGCGATGGGGCAGTCCTGGGGAAGGAGACCACGGGTCAGCGCCAGCCGTGCACAGAGCTCCTCTTGCTCGTCGGCAGAATGGAACCAGCCTCCAGGCCCAGCAGGAGAGAAGACCCAGACCCCATCAAAGGTCTCCCAGCTAAACCCCTTCCCTGCTGCCTACATCACACGCAGCTTCCAGAGAAACCGAGTCAGTCACACTAGTCCCAGAGCTGGCCCAGGTGGTGGGGCAAGTCGCATCCTGGGCCTAGTGACTTGGGGCCCAGTCACACCCCTTCCCCAGGCAACCACGGACTCAGGTCTCTCTGTCCCCCTGAGAACACTGTTGGTCCTTCCACCCAGGGAGCTGCCTCCAGGACCCCCAAGGGCCACAGGGCTGGGCCAGATATTTCAAGTCGGGTTGTCATAACTGTCGCTCAGGCAAGGCAGGGAGCCAGACTAGGATGGGCAGGGAGGCGGGGGTCCCCAGGCCCTCCCAGGACCCCTGTCCCCCGGTGCCTGCCCATGGAGCTGGGTGGCAAGAGGCCCCAGCAAGGGGCTGCACCGGGTGTCTGAGGCCTGGGTCCCCCCAGCCAGCTGACCCACCGCCTTCTTGGACTTCTTCTTGGTGGAGCGCGCCTTCTTGGCCTTCTCCACCACCGCGTAGAGCGCAAAGCAGAGCCGGGCCATGCGCGGCAGGTCGCAGACGTTGATGTCGAACTCCAGGCGCTGCCTCCACACGGGCTCCGAGCACACGCTCACCTCCGAGCTGGACACTGTCTTGCACAGCATCTCGTTGCCGTGGAAGAGCCCGGCCTGCACCACCAGCTGGGGAAGGGGTACAGGGCACGGGTGAGGGGGCGAGGCCCCGCCCCGTCTAAGTCCCAATCCTCTCCTTGAAGGTCTCCATTTACACAGGGGTCCAAACCTACTTCCTGCCTGGAGGGTGGTCAGCAGAGTGAAGGCCGCAGCTCAGAGAGACAGTGGCCATGGGGCAAGCCAGGCTCAGCGCCCCGGCTCCGTGGGCCCACTCGGGGCCTCAGTTTCCCTCCAGGGCGCAAGAGTTCCAGGGTTCTGACACCCTCCTGCTCCCTTCCTGGCCCAGCATCTTCTGAGCCCCAGGTGGCTCGTAAGACTGCCTGACCAGTTAGTTCCCCATGCACCTGCTCCAGCTCCACCCCACCAGCCCATCCCAAGAGCCCCTCCCACCCAGTCCTCCATGACTCCCGCAGACACACAGCCCTCCCACCTGGTAAAATCATGCCCACAAAAAGTGACCCAGGCAAGACACCCTACACTCTGTGGACCTAGGCCGGCATCGCCTCCCAGAGGTGGGACAATAAATCCACCTCTGCAGGTGGCTCTGAGGGCAGGGGAGCTGTGAAAGTGCTTTGAAGAGACCACAGGGCATCGTCCCCCAAGCCCACAGGGGCTCAGCACCCCCAGGCTCTGGGCACCCCTGGGTGGGTACCCCTGGAAGGACCTCAGCCCAGCTCCTCCAGTGCCACACACCTCTCCACCTGGGCACCCTACTTCCCTGGGCTGAGCCTGATTCCACAACCTCCACCAAAGTCAAATACCCAGAAGTTGCTTGGCCCAGGTTTCCACGAATCGAATCAGCCTCCCTGGCCTGCTGGCCTGCTCCCCTCCCCTCTTCCTGTTTTGAAGCGGTTCACAGTGACTCCAGGCAGGGATGTTGGGTAATGTGGTCAGGTGGCTTTCGTGTGACACCCTCCCACTCTTCTTCCTCTGCTGCCCCTCCAGGCCACAGCCACCTTGTTTGTGCAAAAAAACACCCACTCCCTCACCTGGTCCCCGAGCCCCTACCTTCATCCGCTCATCAGCATTGACTTTGCTGCCCTGGATCAGGTCGATGCAGAAAGGCTGCTCCAGTGACCACAGGGACACAGAGGAGGGCTAGAGAGGAGAGGAGAGGCTTGAATCCCAGCTCACTCCCATGGCTGCTGAAAGGCTGTGGCCACGTAGCGGGAGGGGGAGAGGGTGGAGGTTTGCAGCAAGGCTCAGACACTTGTCCCCAACACCATCCTTTACCAGAAAATCTGCCACGCAGGTGCTCAGGGCCCCGCCTCCCGAGAGCTGCAGAGAAGAAGGCAGCCCAGGAGCCCAGCAGCTCAGACAGGACCCCACCCTGGGTGTCAGCTCAAGGCGCCAAGGACTGGACTATCCAAAGTCCCCTAGATCTACACCGGGTCCGGGTGCTGCCCAAGAAGCTCTAGGGTTGGCCAACAGCTGGGAGGAAGAGACAGAGGGGAAGGAAGAGGAAGACGCCATCTCACCTTCTTCACGGGAATGGGGGGAGGTTTGGTGCGTGGTTTCTGGACCTGGGGGGCGGGGTTGCTCTGCTCGTCGCGCATGGCAAGGATGGAGGAGGAGTGCACCATGGTCAGGTGGGGGGTCAGTCCGCTGTGCATGCAGCTGCAGATGTACTGGGACAGGGACACAGGGTGAGCTGCCAACGGGTGGCATGCCCATTCCCTGGACCCTCTCTCCCTCCCCCTACGTGGCCACAGCCTCTCAGCAGCCATGGGGGTGAGCTGGGATTCAAGCCCTGCTCCTCTCCTCTCTAGCCCTGTCTGAGCTGCTGGGCTCCCGGACAAGTCTCCCACTCCCACCCTGGCCCCGTCTAGGGCGTTAGGGAGCCCCGAGGGCAGAGGGCTCCTTGCAGGCCTCACCTGGAACTGGCAGAGCGGGTAGCTGCCGTAGAGGTACTCGTGCCGCCCGTTCACCTGCAGCGTGTAGTCCTCGGGCTGCTCCACCAGGAGCCGCCGGAACACGGTGGCCTTCTTGCGGAGGGCACAGGCCATCAGTGCTAGGGGCATGTCCTTGGTGGACACCTGGAAGGTGAAGCTCTCCTGGCGGGAGGAGGGAGGGTTGGCGTGCTGCTCTCGGGTCCTGGGCTTCTGGGGTAGATGGGCAAGGCCGCCTGTCTGCCCTTATTGGGTGTCCCCAGGTGTGAGCCCCACAGGGGGAGGGCCTGGGTGTTCACTGATGAAGGCACAGCCGACACCCAGGAAATACTTGTCCAGTGAATTCAGGGACTAACGGCCGGCCGCTCCATTTGGTCGACTGGCCTTGCAAGCTTGCCTGGTGGGCTGCTCAGCTGCACCCCTGGCCTGCCTGGCAAATGCCATCTGATGCAGGTCAGAGGAGAGGAACTGGGGGCCGGGGGCCTGGGGCCTGGGGAGTTTCACAGTGGAGGGTCCTCATGGGCACAGCAGCCCCGCTGCTGCGGTGGGGCCAGCCTCCCTAGGACTCCAGAGCCACGGGCTCACCTCGCTGCCCTCGAACTTGACATTGACCAGCAGGGCCCGGCTGGGGAGTCGCGAGGCGTTGCCGGCCCCCAGGCTCCTGGCGGAGGGCTCCAGCTGCAGGGGAAAGCTGTACTGCAGCCAGGCCTCCCAGCCCAGCTGCTGCCGGCGCGCCGCCGCCTCCTCGCAGAACTGGCGCATCTTGGCGCGGAAGTCATTCACCTCGGGGTCGCGCAGGGAGTCGAACTCGTGGAGGCCTGAGGGCAGGAGCGGCTCAGCGCGGGGGCAGTGGGGCCGGCCTGAGGGGCCCGCGGCCGCGCAGGTGTGCCCTACCTTTCCCGATGAGGAGGCTGATCTGCGAGTTGATGAGCTTCTTCACTCGGTCGCCCTCGCGGGCCACCAGGCGCAGCACGGGCAGGAAGGGCTGGACGTCGCAGAGCCGCCGCTGCTCGTCCTCCAGCTCCTGCTGCTCGGCCGTCTGGTTGACGCAGGTGAACACGTAGGCCTCGGGGTCGCTGAGCATGTGGAAGAGCGGCTCATACTGGGCACGGTGCCACAGCACCTGGGGGGACAGTCGTGGTCAGCACCCAGCCATGGCGGCTGATGGGAGGCTCAGGGCCCTCCCTAGACTACCCACGGGACCTTTGGGGGCTCAGCAACCTGCTTTTCAAATGTTGGAAACTAATTCAGAAAAGCGCAACACAACCCAGGGACCAAAACTTGAAACTCTCCCAGGGCAGTGCTGGTGAGGCCGCCAGTGTGCGCCCTTGGGTGAGGCAGGCTTGAAGGGGGCGTCACCACCCCAGCCCAGCACAGCCGGGGACACAGGGAAGAGCCCACCACCACCACGGTGTGGAACTGCTCATGGTGATCTGTCATGCAACAGAGGGCACAGGCCGTGACACAGCCCAGGAGACCTGTACAGAGGGGTCCACGAAGGTCAATTCTTGAAACTTCACGTTGTCGGACAGAAATGTAATTCCAGCCCATTCCATAAAAACAACCATCATGAACATATTGATGAACATAGACCAGGACTTGGCACACTCCAGTGTTCAGGGCTATCCAGTGGGCCGCCTGGTTACTGGCACACAGCCATGCCCACCGCACACACATTACCTAGGGCTGCTTTCACCCCACCAAGGCGATGGTGGCCTTGAGCAGTGACAGAGTTGAGCCACTGTGACAGATAACATAGAGCCTGCCAGCCTCAAATCAATAAAAATATGAAGACATCAAAACCACACCGAAGTGAGAGGTGGGACCCCAGGGACAGGTGTGACATCTGTCACTGCAGCGTTCAAACTTTAATCACACTGTGTGTAGTTCTGGAAGCTGAAAAAATGAACTTTATAATGATATTAATAGAAGTTTATAACATGAACAATATGCTACTGTGCTCCCTCTGAAAAAAAGACATGAAAGTTCATGATCAGAATTTTCACATGTACAACAACACGAAAGACAGAAGAGAGGAAATGGCTGAAGTATTGCCTATGATTGTTGTCCATGGCTGGGTCCCAGGTAGGTCTCTTCCTTCTTATTTTCCAAAATTTTAATGTGTCATTTTTTATTATTATCATCATTATTTTGGTACTGGGGATTCAACCCAGGGACACTTAACCACTGAGCCACATCCCCAGCCCTTTTTTTGTATTTTATTTAGAGACAGGGTTGCACTTAGTTTTTTAGGACCTTGCTAAATTGCTGAGGCTGGCTTTGAACTTGCGCTCATCCTGTCTCAGCCTCCTGAGCCACTGGGATTACAGACGTGCAGCACCGCACCTGGCTACTTTTGAGGTAGAAAAAGGAAGGAAGAAAGAAAGAGAAATCTTCCAAGAAGTTAAAAAAAATAAAATAAAATAAAATAAATAAAATCCCTCAAGTATAGTTCATTGCATCTATCATTATTTTTTTTTTCCTGCTCTCAATGATGGCTTTTAAAATTCTGAAATAGGTTCTTGCCTTCTGGCACTCCAAGGCATGACCCATTAAATCTGAGTTTGTAAGTGGCACAAACCCTTTGAAAGTCACAGGTCAGTATCGACCAAACAGCATCCATATACCCAATGCTTTGACTCAGTAATTCATCCTGAAACTTACTCAATGACCTTTCCAAGGCTGATGAGCACTACCGCGGCAACAGTCTAAAGGCAAAGCCCTGCAAGGCTCTCAAGTGGCCATGGGCAGACTGTGGTCACTCAGGTGACAGGATAACGTGGGTCAAACTTTTGAAATTCCCTCCAGCCCTGGAGGCTTCTCGGGGACCTAGGCTAGTAGCTGGCCCTGTAGGAACTAGGGAGGGAGCTGTTGCAGGAAAGCTGATTCAGATGGAAGTGGAGTTTAACCACATGTTTTTAAAAATTTCTCGGACGCTATATCTTTCAAACTTTGCCTCTGAGGATCCCAAGTCTGAGAATGACACCTCTGTCCGTCTTTCTGAGCTCCTGGGGCTGACGGAAGACCCCGCGGTACCTGCTTGATGGTGCTGAGGTTGGCATTGCGGGACACAGGGAAGTTCAGGTAGACCCCTGTGGGCAGCAGGAAGTCGACCACCACACTCTGGTTCTCCTCCTTGGTCCAGAATTCCATGGGGCAGTCGACCCCAGGGGGCATTCTGCTTTGTCACTTCTCTGTGGCCAGGTGACCTGAAGGGGAAGAAAGGCAGTGAGCCACCCCAGGTGCGCAGGGCAGTCCTTCGAGAACAGTGTCCGGGCCTTGGGTGGCGGGAGGCTCAGGACTGAGTGCTTTCCTGTGGGCTCAGAGCTCCCCTCCCACAGGACCCCACCTGTGACTTCTACCGTCCCAGGTCACTGAGCTGAGCTGCCTCTCACCCCGGGGACACATCTGCCTTCCTCACAGCCGGCCAACAGCCCCAGACCAAATAATTTTCCCTCAGGAATTTACCCATCTGGGAGACCCTATGGTGGCCACCAACTTGCAGGGACAGGACAAGGCAGCGTGGCTGAGTGGACACCTCAGGACTTGAGAAAGGCTGAAGCCTGCGGTTCATAGAAACTTTGTGTGTGTGCCGGGAAATGAGCCCGGGGCACTCCACCACTGAGCGGCACCCCCAGTCCTTTTAATCGTTTTCATTTTTTTTTTTATTTTGAGAGGGGGGTCTTACCAAGTTGCTGAGGCTGGCCTTGAACTTGTGATCCTCCTGCCTCAGCCCCTGCAGTAGCTGGGATTGCAGGCATGGGCCACCATACCCAAAGTTCTTTGAAATTTTCTAACCAAAGACCAAATGGGTTACAAACAGCTCTGGCCATCTAATGATGTGGTGAAATATCTGGATCATACTAAGGCCCTCACCTTACCTCCCATGCACTTAAATAACAAAACACGACGACAAACTGGGTCTTTCATACCCCTTCCTTCCCATACCTCCAGCTTCCCCCTCCAGGTCACCACCACCTGGAATCTGTTTATAACCTCCATGGGGGTTTTTATACTTTTATTATGCTAATATGTATCCACAAAGAATTCCTGACATTTTTTTTTGTATGCCTTAAAACTTCAGGGAATAGCGAATCTTCTGTATCCTGCTTTGGTCACTCAACTTTGTTCCCTAGATACAATCACGTGGCTGGATACTTGCAGCTGAGCTAGGTGTTTAACTGTGTAAAGCGAGCACTATGTGTTTACCCTAGTCTGGTTGATGAACCTGAAGGTTTGTTTCTATTTTCCTTGGTTATTAGAAACAAGGCAACAAGGAGTAACCTGCACTGTGGTCCTAGGAGAAGAGAGCAGAGATGAACCCCATCCAAAAGAAGTATGGGACCCCCGTACCTGATGTCAAAGTTAACAGTAGCCACATTTAAAAGGGAAACAACAGGTAAAATTAAGTTCAGAATGCATTTAATTTAACCCAATCAATGCGTCCAAAAGATTGTCATTTTGACAAGAAATCAACACGGAAAAAAATTACTAAAGCTATTCCATGTATTTTTAAAAATTTTTTTTAAGTTGGTGTATAATTTATACTTCGTTCATTGCCATTTCTTTTTCTTTTTTCTTGTTTTTGTCATTTCAGTTTTAGATTTTCATCAGAAATAACTGGTCTTGGGCTGGGGGTTTAGCTCAGTGGGTAGAGTGCTTGCCTCCCATGCACAAGGCCCTGGATGGGTCTCCAGCCCCACAGAAAAAAAAAGAGAGAAGAAATACCTGATGTTGGACGGGGTGTAGCGCAGGGGCAGAGCCCTTGCTAGTATGTTCCATCCCCAGCACAGCCACACAAACAGCAAAGAAATACTTTATCCACTGATAAATTTCACACTATTTTCAGGTAAAAAGTAGGTTCATAGATCCAGGTTGTTCTAAACTCTTAAAACTTTTCCAGGAAATGAATAATATAGCAATTTATAAATTTTGATTAATGGAAATTAAATAAAAAAAATTGGGGGGGGGAGTTTGGTGCAATTCTAGGGATGGAACCCAGGTCCTTGTGCATACGAGACAAGAGCCCTACCACTGAGCTGCGTCCCAACCAAATGGAACCTTTCAAAGCTCATTCCTCAACCACACTATGTACATTTCCCGTGCCCGAGAGTGGTACGGGGCCAGACCTCTGAGCTGCATCGCTCACAGAGCGAACACCCCGGGTTGTCCTCAAGGGGGTCCTGCCCATCACCAGCTTGTGCTTGATCTCCAGATGTCCCTCAGCACTTGCTACTGCCAACTTACTGGGTTTTGCCAATCTGATGGGTATGAAATGGACTTACGTTGCTTAAATTGCTTTTCCCTGATCATTCGCAAAAGGTTTAGCTTCGGCAGAGAGCCTGCTGGTGGCCGTGGCCTGTGTTCTGTGGGTTACTTATCTTTTTCTTGTTAGTTTATAAAATCTCTTTATATGTTCTACATTCCATTTCCTTGTGGATTAAATAAGTTGGACATGTCTTCTTCCTACTCTGAGTCTCTTTTCTCCTTGTTTATGGTCTCTTTTAAAAAAAAATATTTATTTTTAGGTGTAGATGGACACAACACAATGCCTTTATTTTTATGGGGTGCTGAGGATGGAACCTGGGTCCTGCCCGTGCTAAGCAAGCGCTCTACTGCTGAGCCACAATCCCAGCCCCAATATGGTATCTTTTTGATGAATGAAATGCAATCAATGCAATTAAATATATCAGTCTCTATATGTTTTATGATTTTTATTTTTTAAAAAAGACTTCTGAGCTAGGGGAGGTAGCTCAGTGGTAGAGATACTTGGCATGCAGAAGACCCTGGGTTCTATCCCCAGCACCACACACAAAAAAGGAAGGAACAATTCAATCAAACTTCCCTGCCTACTTAAGGTCACAATCTCCTGTATTTAAATGACTTTTGAAACTAGTTGAAAGAGCTGGGCACAGTGGCACATGCCTGTAATCCCAGTGGCTAGGGAGGCTGAAGCAGGAGGATTGTGAGTTCAAAATCAGCCTCAGCAAGGCCCTGAAGCAACTCAGTGAGACCCGGTCTCTAAATAAAATATAAAAACGGGCTGGGGATGTGGCTCAGTGGTTAAGACCCTGGATTGAATCCCCAGTTCCCCTACCTCCTCCCCAAAAAAAGTAGTTGAAAGGATGTTCGGGTTTTTTGTTTTGAAAGAGGGCTTCGTTATGTTACCCAAGCTGGGCTTGAACTTGTGATCCTCCTGCCTCAGCCTCCTCAGAAGCCAGGATGACAAGCTCGTGCCGCCGTGTCCAGCCATGGACATGTTTACTTTAAGAGGGCTGTTCCCTGGGTGGCAGTGCCTCCCTCGCTGGATGCAGAAGTGGCTCTGAGCAGTGGGACCTGTGTCTTGTCCTCCCAGGCCACCACTGCTGGCAGCCACTTCCTTCGATTGTGAAACCACATCCTACTTGGGGTTCCTCTTTCTGAGAATGGCCAGGCCGAAGCCTTCCTTTTTCACTCAAAACCTGGGGGATGATCAGGAATCCTGCAGAATCTATCTACGAGGCTAAAGGTACTTTGCCAAGTGGGGGGCGTCAGGGGTACATTTGTCACCTAAGCTGGTGAGGCCAAGATGAGCGTAGGAGGCACGAGCTCCCAGGAGACAAAGGCCTGGGTTCTGAGAAAACGCACCCCGCTCTCCTGCCCTCAGCCTCTGGAAGCCGTCAGCCTCACCTCCCCAGCTGGGGGCAGAGCAGAGATTCCACAGAAAGCGGTGAAAGACCCCCAAGGGTGAGCACAGGACATCACCCAATGCCGGCGAGTGACCAGGAGACACGACAGGAGAAAGCCAGACCCTTCCCTCTCTCTGGGCCCAGCACCCAGATCACATCAGCCAACGAGCCCCAGCCCTCGGCTCTGGACAAAGCCCAGACTCGTCACTCTCCATTGTGAAGGCACAGAGACGCCAGCAAATCCAGGGACTTCCGAACTGCCCACGAACGCCAACGGCAGGACCTACTGAAGCTGAACACGGAGGCCCGGGACCAGTGCGTCCACCCCTCAACAGAAACGCGCCAGAGACACGCGAGAGTGATCACGCCGTCACTGCTCACGACAGCCCCGACCTGGAAACCTCTCCAGCCCACATCAGCAGAAGCGGGGAGAAATGAACCCTGGCTGTGCTTTCCCAGTGGAGTATTACATAGCGGTGAGGGTGAATAACCTGTAAATACACACCTACGTCACAAGGTAAAGAATCTCACAGGCAGGAGACCGAGCCAAAAGGAGGCCCAGGAACCAAAACCAGGTGCTTGAGATGTCAACCACAGGGAGAACGACCCAGGCAGAACCGCTGGTCCATGTTGGCAGCGGAGTTACCTCAGCGAGCAAGAGGGCCCGAGGGGCTGCTGGGTGCTGGGGACTTTTCACATGTGCCACACACCCTTGGTCCACGTGGTTCAGATGGGCTGACCTCACCCCTGGCCACTAAGAAGGCATGGGACACAGGCCCATCAGAATCCAGAGCTCCCCTCTCCAGGGGCTGGATGGGACATGGGAATGGAACTCAGGCTCAACCTATCCCTGGAGGTTGCCTCCAGGCTCCAACAATCCCAGGATGGGCATGTGACTGGGTTTTGGTGTCAAGACTTCCTTCTGGGATAGTAAAGACAGAATATTGACCCAGATCTTCTAGGAACCATCTGCTGCCCTCAGGGGCAGAACCTGAGAAGAGAGGGACACAGAGAAAAAGTGGAGACGGGGAACACAAATCTGGGCCCCAGGATGTCACTGATTCCCTGGATCCAGCCGTGCCTGCAGCTCAGCCTTTCCTTCTTCCTTTCTGGCTTTTCTCTCCAGAGCAGTCTCAGCTGGGTTTTCTGCCACTGGCAGTCTCTTTCCATGAGGGCAGCGCATGTTTCCTCTTGGGAAGCTTCTGGTGTTCAGAAAGTTCCTTCCTCAGAAGCCAACCTGCCTCTGTGACCAACCCCTGTCCTCTGTACTGCCATCTAGAGGCACACAGCCAGCGCCCCTGACCACCATGACTGATGGAGGACCCCATCCAGAGCCTCTGGTTAGCTCAGAATTCCAGACTCTGCCCAAAGGGTCTGGAAACAGTGTTGTAATGAGAACATGGAAAGGTAGCGGCCTTCAGGGACTCACTGCAGGAGAAGCATAGTCTTAAAGTGTGCCGTGCCCCCTCCCTCGCCCCCAGGAAACTTCCTTGCTGGCCACATCACGGAGCTCGCTGCCAGCCCTCCAGGTACTTCCACCG